GAATACTACCAGTTGCCGGATACTCAGTGTACAGCGGTTCACCAAACTGTCCAGACTTTTCCTGAGTTTGGAGAGGGGCAACCTGTCTTCCCAGCAGGGCAAATCCTTGGACGATCTGCATGTAACTGGAGGTAAGGGCACCTTGTACTCAAACCATGCTTCCCATGTTCCATCTACCCAACGCTTGACTTCGAACCAAGTCAACCCAACCCAGACTCCCACTTTGTAGGGCATCATGCTCGGCCGGAAAGAATACCTCTCTTCCTATTCACACCCCCCCGGAAGAACAGACCAGTACAAAGAAAGACGATGAATCCTTCGAAAACGGTAAGATTTGGTCTGTCTGTCTGTTACTCTGTCGGGCTGTCTGTCTGTCACATGGACAGGCTGTCTGCTGAGCTGTCGCCTACATTTCTAATGTCCTTTTCTTGCCTCTACATTAATAGGACAGCTTCTTGGTGTTGCTGCTGCATCACGAAGAAGGGAACCCTCTCCGCCATCGAGACGAGTGAAGCGGCGTCCCTGAACTACAGCGGAGAAGACAGACGTCCAAGAAGGCCTGCGCAAATTCTTCCAGTTGAGGAAAGTTCCTGGCAAGCTGGACATCGAAGCAGCTTGCATTGTGGCACTGCAGACCAGTACTTGGAGAAACATCAAAGACTTTAGTCGTAACACAGTGAAGTTGTAGGCAAGTTAAGCTATGATACGCCACACCAGCCATTCTCTCGAGACATTATACCATATTGATGATGAACCCTATAGTAGTAGGCCAATAACGCACCCTTTTTTTAGCAACCAAAAACTTGTGAGTGTTGTCCTCGGTGTTATAGGCTGCACTCACATGGACGAGAAGTCCTCCGTCTGATAGTTTGGAAAGTATGCCCTCCATCTGCAGTGTCTACATGTATACGTGTGTGTACATGGGGGGGATGATCTGCAGACAAAAGCGAGGGAAAGGAGTATTAATTAGTAGTTTCCATCTTGGATGTTCAGGCCATGACATTGTATGGTATGGAGGCGTTTGATCCAAAGCTTCTCCCTGTTGAAGTAAACAGCATCTTTACTGTGTCCAAGTGAGTCTATGCCCTGTAAGATCATGTCAGACATAGAATGGTTAGGAAGGTTGACGTGGTGGCGTACAGGGGTATCTAGTCATTTGGTGTTGACCGTGGATCTGTGGCCATAGAAACACTTCTTGGGGATGTTCTTAGTCCTCCCACATACTTACACCTTGCAAGACAATAGAAGAGCTACAATTGATAGTGTATTTGGTTCAGTGCGTACTTGGTACTAGAGGAGTGTCCAGAGAATGTATTTGATTCCAGGACATGGTTCTGAAGGTACCATACTGGGAGAGGGAAAGGCTCTGTCCGAACAGTCAGGTCCCGAAGGTTGCGGGGACGCCTTTTGGCCACAAGCGGGGTGTCTGGGATGGCAGTGGAAAGGCGGTCTGAAGTTATTTTACAGAGGGGAAGGGGACGCGGTTGAAAAGTGGTGACCAAGGGAACCCTGGGGATGGTTTCTCCACGGGTGTATTCTTGAGAGCAAGACTTCTATGGACAGAGCGGGCCCTATTGATAGATACATGTATACGCGTGGAACCCGGCGATAGCTGTGTCCCCTTGCAATCAAACGCCTCTTCAGTTCCTGTGTATGACGGGAGAAATCATGATACTGCAAACTGCGTAGGAGACCGAGGACCTTGTTTGCTTTAGTTGCTGTGCTGTTTACATGCTCTGCCCTGGTCAATTTACTGTTGAGTTCAACACCAAGGTGTAGGTGTAATTTGTGACAGGGTTTAATGCTTCCTGTTCATGATGTAGGAGGTTTGAAAGGATTGCCCTTTGTAATGTGCATCACGTGGCATTTGTTTATGTTGAATTTCATCTGCCATTTAGATTCCCAGTTACAGAGTGTGTCGTTATCTCTTTTGTAAGTGGACGCTGTACCTGTGGCCGCCACCTTGAAATTCGCGAGAGGATGTGGAAAAGACATGGAACACTGAGCTCACCTGGTTGTAGGCATGCCACTTTAGGGATGTGAAGTTTGAAATCCTGTAAAATAGGTCAGCAGAGTGTTGGCGTGAAGTCTTGGCTAGCAACAGTGAGGAAGACAAGTCCAACAATTAAGTGTCCGTATTAAATTCATTGCTGCCGTCGATGTGTGTAGAATGATGTACAATTCAACGGGGTGCAGTTGCCACGTTTTCCCGTTGATGAGTACAAGTTTAAATGGCGTTAAAAAGTATCGCAAATACCACATATAAAAGTAAAAAAGGATTAGGATTAGGTGAAAAAGTCATATTAAGTATGTTTAAAACTGGATGGCAAATCTAAAAGGTAATTTATTAAGATTTAAGACTCAAAGTGGCAAACGATTAGAAACACGTCTGCCCACTACGCGAAGGAAAAAAGAGTCTGAGTGCTATGATGTATGATATACCGCAGAGTAGATACAGATTAGATACAGTGTGAACTCAGAACGGGACTTTGTGCTTGGCGCTGCATTACATGGCGGTATAATGCTACATTTTTCGCTCATCACCTCATGAGCGCCTGAACACGTGGCCTTGCATAGATTATATTGAGATATGTCACACGGGATCCCAGCTAACGACACACAGAGAATATGAGGATATATTTGTGCCAGGAACGCCGAAAGACACGTGATCATTGATACTCAGAAGATAAATTACCACACTGTACCAAAGATATGATTTTGTCAGATAGCAGACACTTTGCCCGTGGCGAAGCACTGCCATTGGCGAACCAAAAAAATTAAATATCGCTTCGACAACCCTTTTCGGGCGCTGGGCGACCGTGAGCGAACCTATATATAGAGTACCGTGTCTGTTATCTGGGACAGTGTTTTCGGTTCTGCATCACTATACTAGTTGCCAGGGAGGAAGAAAGGGATGTTCCTCCCACTGCACCACATCTTGACAAATTAGTGGACCTGCAGGAATGCCACAGGCCCGTAGGCTGGGGGGG